GGTCACAAGAAGGTTGGATCTCTGTGGAGACAGTCTAGTCTACAGTGGGACGAGTTCATGCCAGCAAATAGTGTGGATCAGTTCATTAAGGATAAAGTAAGTGATCAAAACAGTTGATTAATATACATCTTAGTGTACTAGAATTGTTTGCTTTTCAGATGGTGAAAATTGCTCGTGATTTTGATAATTTATTAATTGTTTGATTTCCTGAGTTTGAAGTATGATTAGAAAAAGATTATGTTTGGTAATGTTGTCCTTCTTAAATTTGCAGAAGCTTGAATTTACTGCTGGGGATGACAGTCAGCCAAGCACACCAACAGTCTCCATACCCATGGAAAAAGTCCAGGAAAAACTGCAGCAGCTTCTCACAAAGGAAAAGGCTGATAATGAGGCCATCTTTGATTGGATTGAGGTACACTGTTTAATGCATCAAAAATTTAACATTTTAAGTGTTGCTGATGTGGAAGAAGTTGAAAATTAATCAGTGTTTTATAATTGTGTTGTTCTTTGCCTGTAGGAGAGTGTAGATGATAAAACCATTAAGGGCAACAAATTCATCCGTGCCTTGATGACAGCAGTTTGTGATAGTGCAATATCTGGTATGTTGGTAATCATTGACAAAACGGTGTTTTTTTTATGTAATTTCAAATGTACACGACCTTAATAAATGGATTTATGTTTAATAGGGGTTGGGAGTAGTGCACGTGTGAATCCAGAGGTTATCAAAACCAGAGGAGATTTGCTGCAGAAATACTTGGATCACCAGGCAGAGTCTGAATTACAAGCCTTATATGCTTTACAAGCCCTGGTACACAAGTTGGAGCACCCACAAGGTAATTCCTAATTTCAATGGTTCTGAATGTTGTAATGCAGCAAATGAGAATAGGTAAATAACAAACAAATTTTAAATCAAGAACGATAATTGAGTTCATTTTCAATTTATTTTTTTCCACAGGAGTATTGCGAACACTGTTTGATACCTTGTATGATGAGGACATTATTTCTGAGGATGGATTTAATCAGTGGGAGAAAAGTAAGGACCCTAATGAACAAGAAGGAAAGGGAGTGGCAATGAAACAAGTGGTTCAGTTCTTCACGTGGCTACGAGAAGCAGAGGATATGAGTGATAGCTGAGAATAATCATATTATAGATCTTAAAGGAATCGGGGGATGGGAATATATATCTATTTATCAGTGGATTTTCAGTGAAAAAGATTGCTTCTTGTGAAAACATTCATTACATTTCAGTGGAATGGATTGTGATTGTTTATCCAGATTCCATTTGAGGTGATTTAAAGCCATATTCATGATCCCTATTCTTATTGGAAAATCATATTGTTGCAGATTGTTTCAAGTGAATGTTTATAAATTTCTATGCTTATTGTGAGCATTTTAGTTATTGTTTGGTGTGACTGCCAACCAATTCATCCAGAATAAACCATGGTTTAAAACCAGAACTTTAAAGGCTGTGCGAATCTGTGCATTTTTACTGCAGATAGGACTGCATTAATTGCTCATTTATATGTCCACATGGTGAATTGCTGTCGGAAAGAGAGAATCATGAAATGATTGCATTTGATTCTTTGCATTATTATTGATAGAAGAAAACCTCTGGTGCTATTTAACCTTGCTGGACTTTTTTTCATAACCAGAATGAACAAGTTTGAAAAACCATTCAGTAATAGCCAATAAGAAACCATTGAATGTATGTTGTGTGCATGTTGAATGTTGCTGTTTTGGTGCAATTGCTATAATTTATATATTTTATTTTCCTGTGGAGACATACTGCCTATAATATAATATGCAAGTGTAAATTATTCTTGTCAATATTTTTGTACATTTTTCTGTCTTTGATTTCAATGTGATAATAGATCTAGGAATATAATAATGATATAAATCTCTGTTGATGTGTTTTATAAGCACCATGTTAAGCAAAATGTCTGATGGGATTTTTTTCTGTTAACTGTGTAAATTTTAATAGAAGAATTTAGAAGTAAGAACTTGGTTATTTCCTGTTATTGTTTTCTGTATGTCTCTGAAAAAAAGATACATTCAATATTTTTGTTTCATTGAGTTTATTTAAAGATTATGCCCCAATTTCTGTCATTTTTTTTTTTTTTGCTGATGAGATGTGTAAATAGTTATCAGACAACTGTACATCATGTTGAAACAATGTCTGATTTTAAATATTTTTTCCTTTAAAGCTCCTTTCACATTGTTAATGTGTGATTGATAATTGCTACTGATTTCCAAAAGAAGGGGTTGTAATGAAATAGAAGAGACATTAAATTGATATTGCAAAAAAAACTATTGTGTTTCTTGTGTGATCTTTTGCATGTAAAGGAAGTGATACAATGGAACATGAAGATTTCTGCTTTTCACTTTTTCAAAAAGCTAGCCATCCACTGGAAATGAGAAGGGGTTGCAAGTCATGCTTAAAAGTGTAATGATACCCAGTATTATGTTCTAATTCGTTTCACTCAAACGAACATAAATTATTTACAATCAAAACAAGAACACTTGTCTACATAGGAGATGGAAGCGCTTGCTTGCCAATATTTCGGAGATGGAAGCGCTTGCTTGCCAATATTTATTAGACGTATACATTTACAAAAACAAGTCTTCAATGGTACCGATTCTCTACCTTCCTTCTACAATATATCAAAAATATAATTAATCACACATAACAGTACAAAATGCATTTTAACACAATGCTTTTATATGTCCTCATTTCACTGATTAAAAACGTAATATAATGCATGTATGAACACAATTATGCTTCCCTCGCCGCCCAGGAAAAACCATAGATAAAAAACAACATCCATTTATATTGAAAAAACTATGGAAACCTGTCAGTCCGCAGCAATTGCGAGGTAAACAAAATGAATGGCGGACTCATTCTCACAAACTTACGTACGTATCATAAATTATAATGTACAATTAATCGACTAGTTTAAGTAAAACCTATGCAAAAGGAATGCAAGTTAGAACTATCTGTAAACACATTTCGACTATATGTAGCAAATATGTACCCTTACACAACAATCTTACATTTATATCAAATTTTTACATAAAATTAGCTAGAGCGACTAAGCAAATTGTTTCCCATCTTTAACAATTAATCTGTTGTGTAAAAACTTTTAATTTTCTTGAAATGAAAACAATTACTTTCTTTATTAAACAAAATACTAGTAAAAGGTTGAAATAAGTAACAGGGTGGGTGGGTGGGTGTGAATGTCGCAAAGCAAGGCCTTCGAATGAGTTAAAATCGTGATTAAAGTGAATACCTGTTCACCCGTTCTACAGGTGTCGACCTTTAAATACTGACCAATAGCTACTGTCGCTATTATTAGCACATAATAAACAAAAGCACGTGTTCCTAGTACATATGATAAATTAATTTCCTATTAAAAGGTGTAATGACAATTGAAAGTAAAACGTTTAGTGCAACAATTTTCATATGCATAAATTATAGATCAGATTCAAGATTCTGAGAAAAGTGGTCTTCAGCTGGTGTACAAGTTGACATTTGCACCTCAAATTTTCAGCACAAATAAGTAAATATTCGGAGAAATAAAGTTCGCTGAATTTTTTCAATTAGAAAATGCAAATCTGCTCTCATTTGCCATCAAATATAGGAGATTTGATAATTATCAATTTTCCATTTATAATACACACTTAATCTAGGCTAAACTTTATTAGAACTTGACCAGGAGTGAATAAGCATTACTTTGTTAAGAGATAAGGGTGGTCATTCTATATCTGAAGTATTCTGAAAAAATGAACATTTCAGTTGATATGTTTCGACCTGAAGAAATGAACATTTCAGGTTATTCCCTTTACATTTTCGACTCCTGAAGAACAACTGAACCACTGCTTGGTTCTACATGTGGGTCGTAATGGTCCAGTGGTCGAGGCTCTGGACAAAGAGAGATAACTTTGGGAAATGATGTCTGCATGTTCCTGTAATTATTATCTGTTTCGCAATGCAGCCAAAACCATATTCAATGAATGTCGGTCTTTCGCAAAATGCCCACTTCACTTTGTTTGAAGTAACAAATTGAAAAAAGTTATTTCTGAGAAGATTTTCTGTATGAAAGGATTCAAGCAGCGTCATGTAAAATACAAAATAAAAATGTATTTTGGTACGATATATACATTATATTTTTCCTCTTCATTTTTGAAACTAAAATGATTATAAGATTTTATGCAGAGTGGACCCTTTTGTTATCAAACAGTTTTCAGAAATCTTCAAAAGGAAAAATATAAGACGAAGTTCTCTTGTTGAATGAATTATTTGTACAGGTATCTGTTGAGTGTTCATCGAACGTTTGAAAATTTTCCTGGTAAATCCTCTTCTACTCTAAACTGCTTTAAATTAGTTTCAGAGTATTTAATACAGGATGGATATTTAAGGTAAGAAAATTATTTTCTCTTTTATGGATCGGATACCTTATTAAAACAAATGGTAAAAATTTTATTTTGTTATCAAAATTATGTCAAAAGTTATGTTGATTTGAAATTTTGACTTAAGTCTGTAATTAGTTTATGGTCTTGGGGCTTGATAACCCTATACCTTGGATGGGCCTATTATAGCCATTACATGTACTAAAGGTGGAATGATAAGCTTTACCTAGTCGTTGATAAAAAAAAAAAAGGCTCTAGCTATAGACGTTAGCTGGTTATCCATATTTGGCGGTGACCTATAGCAGTGGGTTAATTTGCTACTAGTATACAAACAGGATCAGTATTCATGGCCTTCTCCGGTGCTGTAGATTCGGAACGACTGCAGATGCTTGAATCTTTTAAAAAGGACTAAGTATTTGTCAGTTAGATTAATCTAGACTTAGAGTGATGAGTTTTCCCAGCTAAAATATTAAGGAAGCACTGGTTTATCGTCCAGTTTATGGGGAGAAAAAGAGAGCGAAAAAGGCAGTAAAGAAGCTTAAGCTATCACTTGTAATGGCTTGCAGTAAGTATACATTTGAAATAAATGAAGAAACTTTTTCTATGTCATTTAGTGACACATTTATTCATTCAATTTGACATTCATACTGTACATAGAAATTATGTCCATGTATTGGAGAGAAAAAATCCAGAAGTTTTCCCCTCTTACGACACTGTCCAATAAATTGGACGGCAGTATTGTCATAGCAAAGAAAGAATAACAACATATTGAAATCTCTTAACACTAATATATGAACATGAAATTTAGTAAAATCGAGCAAAATGCAATATTTGTGACTTTTTGTTTTGTTGATGAACTTGACAAAAGATCATAGTCGTAATCGCGAGAGAAAAGTGAGAACGACAACAAAGGTTGTTCCAATCCATTCTTTGCTTCTAACACCCCACTGGCATAAGACCAGTCGCCCGGTGCTGCCAGCTGAAAAGTTTCCTCACCGAACAGAAGAATTTCTGGAAATATGTACGGTGACCTGAAAGTACCAGAAAGCTTGAGATGATCAAAATACGTGTTCGAAACAATGGAGCCCTCACCACATGATGAATTGTTGTTGGTTCTACACCTGACCACTCCGCAGACCTGGATATAGTAAGTCCCTTCTTTGGTATGTAAACCATCGAATGCACCAAGAGCATACAATTCTGTGATATTTTCTCGTGAAGTGTAAGATGCTGTGCAACAAAGTTTATTATGACAGACCCGAGCTGTTCCACTAGACTGCGATAGAGCAACGTAATTGAACATGTCTCCAAAAGTTTCTGCTTGAAATTCTTCTTGTCCAGAACTATTCTTCATCGGGTCAACAACCGATTCTACATTTTTTACAACTTGTTTGTTCGAGAGTAGATTTGTACGCAAAATATTCAGATCTGACACTAATAGCTTTCCGCTACTCGAAACACTGTTGTTATAGTAATAGGCTCTAGCTCCTTCTGGGGAGTAAATTCCACTTCCTTGGAAACGGTATCGAGGATTGTGCATGTTGGCTGCTAAAAAATTAACGCCAAAACCAGCAGCTACTGCCGAATGGAACTGGACTGCCGCAAGAAATGGAGGGGTGTCCATCCAGGCTGTAGGAAATGCAATGTTACTCACCCCTCTCTCCTTCATCAAAACAACCACAGGGTTCCGAAAGAGTATATCAAAGCAAGTGAACACACCAAAGGTTCCGAATGGTGTTTCAAACGAGACGGCCTCTTCGGATGTTGATGGGTTGAACATAAATTCAAAGAACAAGTTGATTTTGTGATACTTGGCGATAAGTGTTCCATTGCTGTCGTACACTACATCCGTATTAAATTGGTAATGGTGGTCTGAAGGGCAAGTGCCGTTTGGGGCCTCACAAGGTTGAATGTCTCCCATGTTAGCCACAAGGTATAGAGAATTGTTCTTTGCCAGGCAACTGAGAGTGTGCTGCACCTCCGTCTCTGGATATTTTTCGGGGTGTTCACATGGGTTCCACTTTTCTGTTTTAGGATCCGGTATGAATTCAAGATACGGTCTAATGGATTTTCTGGTGTGACCCATATAAGTTAGTCCATCCTCTGGGAACACAATTATGTCAACTCTCTAAAATAGTATAGAAAATACAAGATACTCAAGCAGTCATTTTTTTATCTTTCATTTGTAGCCAAGCCTAAACCGGTTGAACAAACTTGAATCTACATTTCTTGAGCATGCTTCTATTTAAATACGATTAATCATGACCTTGCTGTTCTTGAAAAGTTGCTTTTTTAATTTTCCCTATATCTTCCTATACAAAATTTTAAATTACCCCGGGATGTCCTGATTCAAATGAAATTGAATCTACGCTATGTAATAATTTTTTAAAAATAAGTTTAAGCATTTCTGGTCCAGTAGTTCTTGAGCGGAAGACATTTCAAAGCTGGGTTTATATAATGCCAATTCATATTTATCTCCTTTGAAAAAGGATTTAACCCTTCATTTGAACAAATATGATTCATATTCACCCAAGGTTGCTCTGTGCAAAGTTTGGACAATCATGCGCCTTAAAAGCAACAGATAACGAACAGAAAAGTCCACTTGTTTCTTCGGCTCAGGTGAGCTAAAACCAGGCTGATTTCTTTTACATTAACATTTTAAACCGAAACTCTTTTTTTTGGAAAAAGATATATTTAGATTTATTCAATAATTAGAAATGTACAAGTTTGCACCCCCCGCCCAGTGAGTACTATGCCATACACAACGAGGAGACCGTTCCTTCGTCTTGTGATAAGCCAATGGCTCTATGAGGATTTAAAACAATATCCTTAATTTCAGTTATATTTAGGACAAGTAAATATTTGGTATTCACAGAGAGGTTGTGGATAAGTTATTTTAATAAAACAACTTTTATATCGCGGCTTACCTGAAGATGAGCCTCCTCAGCAACATTTCGGTACACCTCCAGGTTTGTTGTCATGTACTCTAGAGCCTCTTTTCGCGTAACCACGACTTCTCTGTTGGGTGGGAGAGTAGCATGTTCGTATACGGCCGCTCTGAATGTCTTGTCATCGTAACCTTTAGTATAAACATATAGAAACCAAAAAGTAACCAAAACGAACTTCCAAAATCTCAACGACATCGTACCGTTTTAAGGAATGTTGTAGGGAATGTTTCAGGTTCTTGGACTTTGCTCCCCAACAGGCATTCTGTGATAGGGATTTCATAAGCGCTTCTATGAGTAATGGTATTTATCTGCAGGACATAAACAAACTCAGGAGTGACCTGTATGTTTTCTATCTTAAACGCTTTCGAGAAGTTCGCCCTTGAAGTACCTCTGAAATATTTTGTAAATATTAAGGATGAGCACCAAAAGTCAACATAATTATGACTCCATTTAAAGCAGTATGAGCTGCATGTTTGACATCGGAAAATTTTATTGCAAATATGTAATTAACTAATTTAATGACAGAAAAATAAATAATTTATAAACTTATGTTGTTCATATTTGCAATGGAATTTTTTTCATTAGCTTTCATTGAAGCAAAATTGAATAATTGTCGTCCTGTACAATAATGATTTCTTATATAAAACTGTATAGTCATTTGTATTGAAATATTTCTTCTGAAACATTTTAAAACTTTATTTTGGGCTTATTGGTCATAAGGGTTTAAATTACAACCATAATAGCACATTTTACAAGCAAAATAAAATTCTCAAAGATACAGCTCATATTGCTTTAATTCATTTCAAAAAATTGCTTTTTTGCTTTTCAAAAGAATGGTAATTTTTATGCCAGTTAAAGGAGCAGGAAGAAGTAAAAACTCTCCTTCATACTAAAATTTATAATGATTTTTTTAATAGTATTGAAATAATTTCATAAATTGAAATGACTACTTTGCATATTTTTTTTAAATAAAAAAATATACACATAAATATATAATTATTATTAGGCTATGTGTATATTTTTACATTGTATTAGTGCAACTTTAATAAATCATTGAAAAATATCTATAAAAATTGTGGACAATGTATGTAAAAACCATTGCTCCATCGTCTTCGCACCATCGTGTCAATGCTATCGCATTGTCGCTCCATCGCATCATCGACTTCGCGCTCTCGGTTTATAATCATCGCACCCATCGCTTCATCGTTATCGTCTTATCGCATTATCGATGGTGCGATGCCGTAGTGAATTTCAAGAAGCGCTATCAAGATTCCATAAAAACATTACCAGTTCTAAACCTTGTCAATTTACAGAACATTCAAAGTCCATACACAGGGGATTGACGTACGCAGAAAATAAGTGTTACATTGTTTTCATATTTCATGTCGCTTCGTAATTTATGGACTTTTGACCGGAATTAGTTCTTGAAGTACCATTGACTTTTGCCGTTCTTATAACATTTGTTTGATTCTAGAAAGTTACACTGGTGACAAGAATTTTGAAGCAATATTTGGCCCCGTTGTTATCAGGAGATTGAAATTGATACTTAATGAGATTTATCAAAAATATGAAGAGTTAGGTAAACAAATATTACCAAATTAAAGTCCACTAAGTCTAAATTTATTAACTCTCCTTATCATGCACGGACAGCCTACAGGAGTAGCCAAAAGTCCTGATTTGGATACGTTTCTACTCTTTTCTCTTAAACATCAAATGCTTATTGATAAACCAAAAAAAAAAAGGATAAATAATCGATGAACAAAATTTATTCTCTCTCTTAATTCTTTTTCACTCTCGACCTGTAATTTGAACCTAACACAGCATTTGACCGCATTGTATACATGTGTATAGGGGCCTTTTGATAAAAAATGAACTGTAGCGGTTAAATTTACGTGTTTTTTTTTTTTACAAATTGGTTTATCGATAAACATTTATTCTCTCTCTTTTTTTTCCACTGTCGACCTGTAATTTGAACCTAACACAGCATTTGACCGCATTGTATAGGGGGCCTTTTGATAAAAAATGAACTGTAGCGGTTAAATTTCCGTGAATTTTTTACAAATTGGTTTAAAAGTCCATGACATAAGTTAGTAAATTACATTACAAAGTGACTGTCATATATATGAATGAACAACAATAGTTTTGTGCCTGAACAAATAGTATCAAGTCTCGAACAGTCATTGAGAGTAAGTAATCCGGTAGGGAAATTCTTCATGGAACGACTGATCCGCAATGTTGATCTAGCCCAATACTTAAGTTATACTACAGGAACAACAGGGCAGCGTTGAGCACTTATATTGTCTATTGGGGGACCCATGACAGTGAAAAATAAAAGGGAAAATTTAAAACAAAACAAAAAATGAGATTATGGTCTTTAAATCCACACCTCTTGAAATCTCTCGACTTATGCTATCAATTCCTCACATTGTTAGGATAGAAACTTTTGGACAAATCTGTCAAAATTTTTATTTCAGAAACTGTGATGTTTTGATTGAAAGTCTCATTGTGGTCTTCATAATGGATAAATAGCATTACAAAAAGGTAAAAGGGACAATTACAACATGTTTTTATTTGGTTATTGTGATAATTTATTTGCACATTATTCTTTTAAATTAACTACATGTACCAAGTCGAACAAATTACTTGTACATGAACGCATATTTCGGTTTAACCATGCTTCTTATATTTTAATATATTATTGCTTACTGTTTATAGAACAATCTCTCTCTCCACTTACACATTTATGCAATCAAACTTACATGTATAATATGCATAAAATGCAACCATAAACATTAATTATTATTACTGAAAAAATTTACTAATATAAAGTTTTAAATTACACAAAATTCTGCAGTGATATCTTTTTCTGAAAAGCTAGAATTTATCAATCGAGTTTGTTTCCAAAGATAAGCCCGACATGCACCTTTAGTCCATGTTCAATTAGCTTCTTTAACACAGATCTCAATACACTTGATCAATGGATTGTAAATAAAGATGGATCAAATTTAACCATCAAGGGTGTGCTGTGCAGAAGACAATCAGAAATGCAAATAAATCATTTGTATACCAAACTTTGTAATCCTCGTGTGATTCGTGTTAAAAATGTAAAAGTAGGGTGTTGGGGTGACGAATAAATGTTTAAACATATGCAATTGCGTCCATTTGTTTTGCAGGTTTGATATGGCATAACAAAAAGATGTGCAATGCAGCGGCTTAGATGAAGCAGAAAAGTCAAAACACGCCAAACTGTTTTCAGAATTTAAGGCCGAGGAATCGGCTTCGGAGATCGTCTCTGTGAATCCATTTGAGTCATGGGTCGCTCCTGTCGCAGCTCTAAAGGTGGTTCTTTACAATGACAATGGAGAGAGCGTCCGAGACATTGAAGTTAGTTTTAAAATTCAGTGTTTTGGTGTCTTTGATAGAAAGAATTTCATTTTGAGTGATTACAGTGGGAAGTGTATCTATAAATTGTCACATGAAGGACAACTCACGAAACTTGTCAGTACCTCTCCCTTTAGTCCCAATGGCATCCGAGTATTTTCCAATGATCAAGGATTTGTCGTCTGCATGGTGGGGACAAGTGGCGGGAAAGTTGTGCGTTACACGCATGATGGGAAATCCCGAACGAAGACGTATCAGAAGGATGAACGTGGTCATCCTCTCTTTAAATTTCCTCGAAGGGTCGTGGATAACCTGAATGAGGATCTCATCGTCGTAGACATCATGTTCAAATCCGTCATCTGCGTCAACAAAGAAGGGAACCTTCGCTGGGTCTACAAAGGATCTCTCGAAAGTCGAAGAAATGGGATCGAATTCGATCCCTGGGATCTGGCAGCAAATTCAAAAGAAGAAATTATCGTATCAAACACAAAGCCCAACACCATTGATGTTCTTAACAAGGATGGGTTATTTTTAATGTATGTAGTGACTAAAATAGATGGAATATCTAACCCGCTAGGAATCTGTGTAGATAGTGAGGGCAAACTCTGGGTGGGGCAGGCATCAGGAAAGGTTTGCATCTACAACTATTTAAATGAGAGCTGAGGATCACCTTTATGCAGGGGGTCCCTTGTTTCAAAACCTACCATTATTTTCTTTTTCTGACGATTTTTGAGATTATCATGGTCAGTGCAGTACATGTTTGATAAATTCTAAAAGCGATTTTTATATTTCATATGTTCAAATAAATTATTTATATTAAACAAATGTATGCCAATGTTTTCTAATAAATCAGTCTTAACTTTGTATGTTATATCATTTCAAGGTTCTCAAATCATAAGTCCCAGAGAATGGATCTGAAACTAGAGTGTAATCTTATTGTGTGAAATAAGGAATGTACCATGCAGCTGATTGAATTATATCACCTAATACCAAGTCGATAAATGAATTTAAAAGATATTGGAAAACCCATTCAATGAGTGGCACTATATCTCATTCGTAGTCCAGCTAAATGGTTTTCAGATCAACGAGCAACACTGTATATTTAAAGAAGCATCCTGCAGACACCGTACCAACTGTTGTATCTCTGTGATCAAATACATCATATGCAATCGGTTCGTCTCCATTTTTTTTTTTTAATTATGCAAAAATCAAAGAAAATGGAACGCTAGCTTCATCTAAACACGTGAGCACAGTTTTTGTATATTGGTATTTCTTTGAAACGGTTACATCCTTGAAAGTCTTCTTTACGTGAGTTCATGAAGCCAGCATGTATGTATACTGGGTGATGATTACAAGTAGCAGCTACGTTAACAATCCATAAACTTTGAAAATGCCTCCTATATATACACTGTACATGTATGGAATTTTTTGAGGGGTAATGAATGTTGATAGAATTTGCATCTGTCACAGATTTCAAGGTGATTTTTAATTGTGTCATCATATTTTTAGAGTATAATAAAATGCAGTCTAAGTCTCATGAATTTTTTATGTCGACTGAATGACCATTCCTTCATCTATCCCCAGCAACTACATCACATACACAGAATTTTCTCTTAATCTAGTAAACATAAGAAAATTATGGCAAGTCTCCTTAACTTCAGTTCTTAACAGAATGACTTGGAATTAGAAAGAAACCACTATCATTGATTGGTCAAATAACCAACCAATTGACACCCCATTCAGAAAGTTCCCGCAAAGCAGCAGTGTTACACCAGAGGCGATTTAGTGAACACCAAGGAGAGGAGAGAGTGGGGAAGAGAGAGAGAGAGGGGGGGGAGAGGGAGAAAGAGAGAGAGAGGAGAGATTTAAAGAGTGCATGGGAGAAAGAGAAAGAATGTGAGGAGAGGGGAGAGAAAGCGGTTAGAGAGA